CAAGAACAACAACAACAATCCTATTTCATCAGCCAAAAGCAGGCCCACACTTCCCATTGAAATACTAATAAGTTTATATTTGTTAAAATTGTTCTTCATTTTAATTATTGTATTGTTTTAAAGTGTTTTTGCATTACAAATAAGATATGTGCAGTGTGCATAGGAATTCATTCATGTTTTTTTTTTTTTCAAATTATAATCCGGCCCTCCAACAGTTTGAGGGACTGTGACCTGGCACTCTGTTTAAAAAGTTTGAGGACCCCTGCTCTAACCTGTCAATCTTCAGTCCTGACAGCACAAGGGTTTAACCCATTGCACTACTGGGGGCTCCTTTTGGAGGTGTAAAATAAAGAAAGGGACCTTCTTCCATGTGTGGTGGTCATGCGAATTGGTGCAGGCTTATTGGAGAAATATTATTAAGAAAACAAATAAAAAGATCCACAACAAAGTTTTAAAAATCCAGGGAATTAGGGTTACTGAGTCCCCCTCGGGGTGAGAAAAGCAGTATACAAATACTGTAAATAATAATAATAATAATAATAATAATAATAATAATAATAATAATAAATATTCAGAGACAATCTGGAGTAGCTAGACAGAAGAATTTGCCAGTACAGCTTTGCGACTACATGGATAACGATTGAGAAAGATTGGAAAGTTGAAAAAACACTAAGCATGAAAAATTGGAGGGCCAAACTATGGAATTACACACAGGTGACCAAGATTTCTAGTAATTTGAAATATGAAAGCCATGAAGTTTTTGGAAGGAACTGGAAGATGGCTTTAGCATATCTGATGGACGAATTTAGGAAATAAAAACAAGAGGAATTTATTGTTTTAGAATTATAGAGGGGTAAATAAAATGCGCATAAACTGCAAAATTAGTGACGGAAGCCAAAGTGGTGGGTGCACTGTGGGCAGGATGAGGGATAACTGTACTGTGCGTAGCAGGATGTCTGTGTATGTGTATGTATACATGTTTATAGTATGCATTGTATTTGCAGTATATTTTTTAAAAGCATAACTGAAAATATTTTGAGAGCTAAAGGAAGGATATGTCCGGGTTTTTTAATTCAAAATATTTTGAGAGCTAAAGGAAGGATATGTCAGGGTTTTTATCCATTCATTCATACTGATTACTGTAAATATTTCCTGTCATGTATATTCATGGTTAGAGATACATTTAAATGAGAAGTGTGGGAATGGGTTCGATTCATGACTAAGAGCCCTGTGTGCTATGTAGTTCTGTGTATGTGGAACTCTGTTTTCTTTTCTGAAATATCTAATAAAGCATAACTGATACTGTGAATATTTCTTGTCCTATCTATAACATACAAATAATAATAATAAATCTATTAGAGATGTGTGTGTGTGTCTTCGATCTATAAAACACATGTTGCTTCTTAAAATATGTGAGAATTAATTTAGTTTGGTCATGACATGGTTGTGACCATGAGGTCACGAAGAGTCGGAGACGACTGAACGAATGAACAACAACAACAAATCTAGTTTGGCCTGACAAAAAGGCATGTTTAGAAATATGACTTTATTCTATACTAGCTTGGGGACCCAGCACTGCCTGGGTTATTAGAGAAAGTGGGTAATGGCGGTTCTGTATGCCAAGTTTGGTCTTTATTGGTCATTGGATGACAGTTGCATTGTTTTCAGTAAGTGAGTGAAGGTACTTGAAGTCCCATCATGCATGGTCCACCCTCCTCCAAAGTGCACCAGGATGTAGAGTGGGTCATGAGGGCTCTGTGTGCCAATTTGGTCTTGATCAGTCATTGGATGAGGGACTAAGTTACTGGAAGTCCCATCATCCATGGTCCACCCCCCTTAGAACTGCATCAGGATGTAGAGTGGGTCATGAGTACTCTGTGTACCAAGTTTGGGCCTGGTCTGTGATTTGTAGGAGCTACTCTGATGTACTGCAAATCCCATCATTTGTGGCACATCCTGCCCTAAACTGCACCAGGTTTTAAAGTGGGCCATTGGACCTCTCTGTGCCAAGTTTGGTCCTGATCAGTCCTTGGTGTGGGCCACAGAGCTCTAAGGAAGTGAGTTAAACTACTGCAAGTCCCGTCATCCATGGTCCATCCTCGCTCAAACTGCACCAGAATGTAGAGTGGGTCTTGGGGGGGGGGGGAGGTCTGTGTGCCAGGTTTGGTCTTGTTCTGTCATTGTTGGGGGCCACAAGGTGTTTTGGACTTCAACTCCAACCATGCCTGACAGCCTCAGGCCCCTTTCCTTTTCCCTCTGCTACCTCGGAATGATCAGGCTGGCCAATCAGAGACCATATGCAAATTGTACCACAGTGGCAGCCAATCAGAACGCTGCCACATACACCTCCTGTCCTCCCTCCGCATACAAACACTGACTTTTATTATATACATAGATAGATAGATAGATGATAGATAGATAGATGTTTTGATACAAACACTGACTTTTATTATATACATAGATGTTTTGATATTAGCGAAATAATTTTGCACTGAGTCTATTTGCTAAGGTTTAAAGGAAAGAAGGAAATTATTAACAATTACCAGAGCTGCCTCCATTCATCCCCATGTTAAATTCCTAGCACAAACTGAATGATGATTTGCAGACCATCTGATTGGTTGTGAGCTTAGAATGATGTGGTTGAAAATTAATTTGGCAATTTTGATCCATTCAAACAGGGAAATAAGGTTCCCACTTGGTATTGCGCTTATGCTTTAAAGAATCCTACAACCTTAGATCTTTTCTCTAGATAGACTAGAAACAAATCAGTTAAGATTTTCCAAGGGACATTGGTAATTTAACGTGACTAGAAACTGTCATATTGGGAAAGGCTGTCCCTTCAACTAAGCTTTTGTGAATTACGAGGGTTGAATGAAAAGTAATGCCTCCACCTTCATAACGATCTGTATTTTAATGTGTTTTTAATGTATTAATGCACTATGATGTTATTATGCTTTAGTTTATTTGTATATTGATTCTCTGTTGTTAGCTGGCCTGAGTCCCTCCTCGGAGCTCGAGAAGACCGGCCTATAAAAGCTCTAAATRAATAAAATAATAAATAAATAAAAAACTCAACAAATTTATGTATTTATTTATGACATGTATAYGCTGCCCTTCTCACCCCGAAGGAGACTCAGAACCGCTTACAAGATACATATACATACAATACATTATATTATTAGCATAGTACATCAGTATTATATATTACTATCATACGAAAGCTGACTGGCACAACCTGGGGATCACAACCAGACACAGTGAAGACATCTGACCTTGTGCTATGCTACTCTGCTTTTTTTTGTCATGTCAGGAGTAACTCCTGTTGTGAGAGAATTGGCCGTCTGCAAGGACGTTGCCCAGGGGACGCCTGGATGATTTGATGTTTTTATCATCCTTGTGGGAGGCTTCTCTCATGTCCCCGCACGAGGAGCTGGAGCTGATAGAGGGAGCTCATCCGCCTCTCCCCGGATTCAAACCTGCAACCTGTCGGTCTTCAGTCCTACCGGCACAGGGGTTTAACCCACTGCGCCACCGGGGGCTACTCTGCTGCTGAGTATGCATGCCCAGTGAGGAACACATCTCACCACGCTAAAACAGTGGATGTGGCTCTTAATGAGACATGCTGCATTATCATGGGGTGTCTGCGCCCTACACCACTGGAGAAATTACACTGCTTAGCCGGTATTGCACCACCTGACATCCGCCGGGAAGTAGCAGCCAAGAGTGAAAGGACCAAGGCAGAGACATCTCCAGCTCATCCCCTGTTTGGGTATCAGCCAGCATGTCAACGACTTAAATCAAGACATAGTTTTCTAAGATCTACAGAGACACTCGCTGGAACACCTCAGCAAGCGGGAGTCCAAAAGTGGCAGGCTCAAACCCAGAACCACAACCAATGGCCAGCTCTTTAAGCCGCTCCTCATAGGTCTTCTCCTCCTGCATCCCTCAGCCATGCTTGCAGGAAAGCCAGCCATGACCCTTTCCCCCCTTCTTCCCACAGAGGCTTCCTGAGAAGCCGAGCCCAGGATTCTTAGAGGGGAAAGAGGGAGGGAGGGCCTCCCACAGCCCAAGCCCCGCCCCTTCCGGCGAGTGGTGAGCGCGTCTCTTCCTAGACGGGCACCGGAAGAGGCTTTGTTTACATTCAGGGGGTCCTCCGAGGGGGAGGAGGGGAAGTGCCACTTCCGGGAGGGAGCCAGTCCTCAGAGGGATGGAACTGCAGGTGGGTCATTCTCTCTTCTGTCCCGGAGAGAGAGACAGGGAATGAAGGGGGACGACATTGGGGAGTCTCCTCGGCCTCCCCTGCGGTTCCTTGAGCCTCTCCCATCTAGAAGGGCAGCCCCTCGGCCTCAGGCAGCGGAAGGCCTTCCATGGCAGCTGTTAGGGCTGGAAGAGGATAGGATCAAGGGTCTGGAGAACAAGCCCTATGAGGAGCGGCTTAAGGAGCTGGGCATGTTTAGCCTGAAGAAGAGAAGGCTGAGAGGATATATAATAGCCATGTATAAATATGTGAGAGGAAGCCACAGGGAGGAGGAGGGAGCGAACTTGTTTTCTGCTTCCCTGGAGACTAGGACGCAATGGGACAATGGCTTCAAACTACAAGAAAGGAGATTCCGTCTGAACATGAGGAAGAACTTTCCTGACTGGGAGAGCCGTTCAACAGTGGAACTCTCTGCCCCGGAGTGTGGTGGAGGCTCCTTCTTTGGAAGCTTTGAAAAAGAGGCTGGATGGCCATCTGTTGGGAGTGCTTTGAATGCAATTTTCCTGCTTCTTGGCAGAATGGGGTTGGACTGGATGGCCCACGAGGTCTCATCCAACTCTAGGATTCTAGGCCAGGGGTCTTCAAACTTTTTAAACAGAGGGCCTTCAAACAGTTGGAGAGCCGGATTATAATTTTAAAAGAAAAAAAAAGAATTAATTCCTACACATATTGCACATATCTTATTTGTAGTGCAAAAAAAAACCCACTTAAAAACAATACAATAATCAAAATGAAGGACAATTTTAATAAATATAAACTTATTGGTATTTCAATGGGAAGTGTGGACCTTCTTTTGGGTGACGAGATAGGACTGTTGTTGTTGTTTTCATATGAGCTCATTCATTTTGTTTTGTTTGCAGGCCACGTCAGTTCTGCCAGTCCTCCCATTTTGAATATCATTTGAGAGAAGAGGTGGACACATCTTGATCCAGTTTGGAGGCAGCCTAGAAGTACAGAGCAAAGATGGAAGGGCCAGAGCCAGCTGCCACTCAGTTGGAAGTATTTTCTTCTGCTGTTGAGGCAGAGAACAGTAGAGCACTCTGGGAGGACCCTTGGACGAAAGACCGGGAGAGCAATCTGCTCCATTCAGAGCTTCAGTACCAGCGCTTCCGGCATTTCCGCTATGAGGAGGCCTTGGGGCCCCGAGAGGTTTGCAGCCACCTCCACTCTCTCTGCCGCCTGTGGCTGAAGCCCGAGCGACACTCCAAGGCGGAGATGCTGGACCTGGTGATCCTGGAGCAGTTCCTGGCCGTCCTCCCTGCGGAGATGGAGCGCTGGGTGAGGGAATGTGGGGCAGAGACCAGTTCCCAGGCCGTGGCCTTGGCTGAAGGATTCCTCATGAGTCAGGAAGAAGAGAGGAAGCGGGAGAAGCCACAGGTGAGAGAGAGAGGTTCATCTTGTTATTTCAAGGAACCAAGAGTAATTGTTTTGAAGAATTCAGTTTCAGGTAGCTAACTTTAAGAATAATACAAACAAGTTGGAACGAGTTCAGAGAAGCATTAGGAAAGGAGGACCCAGGTGTGTTCACCCTGGAAAAGGGACTTGGGGTGCCCCGATTGGCTCCTTTGCACCTCCCAAGGTCTCTCACGGAGAGGAGGGGGCAGTCCCCTGCATTCCTCAGGGTGGTATCACCAGGTGTAATGATCTAAAGTTAATAGGACAGTCAACTTTGAAGATTAAAAGGAACGCATTGAGAATTCCAGTTGTGTGTAGGAAGCAAATGACTGGACCACTTCTGAATATTCTGTATCTTATTCAGAAGTAGGGATAACTCCACAAGAACCTGAAGGCACAGATATACAGACTTATGTCACTCAGCCTGAGAACCATTGTAATTATATGACTGTATTTTGCTCTTTTAATGTTTTTAGTGTAATATGGAATATGATGTTTTAATGACTGTTCGTGATATTGTTGTTGGAAACGGGCCTGAGTCCCTCGATGGAGGTGAGAAGACCAGTATACAAAATTTCTAAATAAATAAATATAAATAACCTCCCTAGGGTCGCCCCAAATGACAATCCCAGGATTATGTAAAGTACTTCATCTAATCACCTCGTGAAAACAAATGTTTTCTCCAGGCACTGTCAGGCCATTATATGCTAATCAAGGTGGTCAGTAGAAACATTCACACCTAGCTCCAGCAGACAAGAGTCCTTTGTCCCACCCTCGTCATTCCACAGATATATAAACCCTTTTTCCAAGTTCCAACAGACCTCACTACCTCTGAGGATGCTTGCCATAGATGCAGGCGAAACGTCAGGAGAAAATGCCTCTAGACCATGGCCATATAGCCCAAAAAAAACCTACAACAACCCAGTACTTCCTTCTTCTCAGCAGTAGCCCTTCCACTTCCGATCGAGTCCTGAAGCAAAGTGCAATGCCCAAACAAAGGCTGAATTTCCACACCAAAATCATAGAAAGACAGATTACTCTACAGAATGAAGAAAACCAGTCTTGAGTCCCAGTCGTAATCCCAGTGGTCTGGAACAGGTTGCAGAAATAGAGCCCTCCCTCCTTTACTAATCTATCTTTTCCCTTGTGGTCTGTGCTGCTTGTTCAGGTGGTGGAGTCTTTTGCAGATGAGACCAGCCAGGTGGAGGAGTCTCCTTTAGACATCATGTGTGTGGTCCAGACTGCAAATGGAGAATCTATCACAGTTGGTAAGGGATGGGCAGTGGTCCTTCTTGCTTGCTCATCTCCTATTGAGTAAGCCTGAAATGTCTGAGCTGTGTGAATTGGGGAAAAAATGTGGAGCCTAGGAGCTTAAGAATGCTGCCGACAGGAGACATTTCCCTACAATACTTATTTGTGCCACTTTCAAAGTTACTTTATTCCTTTTCTTCTCTCTGGATGTTTGAGATGGTGAACATGCTCTTTGCTACATTTGCACAAATACACAAATGAATTCAGTCAACCCTCTATCTTTGCTGGGATTAGGTTGTAACACCCCTGTAAAACAAAATAGTCCACATTGAAGACTTACAAAATAGTCCACATTATTTATTATTTATTTATTTATTTGCTTTATTTCTATACTGCATATTTCAGCCATATTACAGGCGACTCTATGCGGTTTACATGATACAAATTATTAACAGTGTCAGTGCAATTAAAACGCAACAAGTGCGACAAACAGGATCAACAACATCAATCCACAACAGTTAACAAAACAGAACAGGACAGTTAACACACACAACATAGCGCCTCAGTGAAATCAGATCCGTTCTCATAATCCTTGTGCCATTCCTATGTTCCATTTACCGTCTACCTTGATTGATTGCACTGTTCAACCAAACGCCTGTTCATAAAGCCAGGTCTTAACCTTTTTCCGAAACGCCAGCAACGAAGGTGCCTGTCTGATGTCTGCCGGCAAGGCATTCCATAGCCGAGGGGCCACCACTGAGAAGGCCCTGTCTCTCGTCCCCGCCAAGCGCGCCTGTGACGCAGGCGGGACCGAGAGCAGGGCCTCCCCAGACGATCTTAATGTCCTAGTCGGTTCATAGGGGGAGATGCGAGAGGTAAGCGGGGCTAGAACCGTTTAGGGCTTTATAGGCTAAAGCCAGCACCTTGAATTGTGCCCGGTAGCAGATTGGCAGCCAGTGGAGCTGGCTCAACAGAGGAGTGGTATGCTCCCTGAGTGCCGCTCCCGTTAGCAACCTGGCTGCCGAGCGCTGGACCATCTGAAGCTTCCGGGCAGTCTTCAAGGGCAACCCCACGTAGAGCGCGTTGCAGTAATCAATCCGGGATGTAACCAGAGCGTGGACTACCGTGGCCAAGTCAGACTTCCCAAGATACGGGCGCAACTGGCGCACAAGTTTTAATTGTGCAAATGCTCCCCTGGACACTGCCGAAACTTGGGGTTCCAAGCTTAGCGAAGAGTCCAGGATCACACCCAAGCTGCGAACCTGCGTCTTCAGGGGGAGTGTAACCCCGTCTAACACAGGCTGTAACCCTATACCCTGTTCGGCCTTTCGACTGACCAGGAGTGCCTCTGTCTTGTCTGGATTCAATTTCAATTTGTTAGCCCTCATCCAGTCCAACACAGCGACAAGCACCGGTTCAGGACCTGAACAGCCTCCTTAGTAGCAGGTGGGAAGGAGTGACAGAGTTGGACATCATCTGCGTACAGATAACACCGCACCACGAAACTCCGGATGATCTCCCCCAGCGGTTTCATGTAGATGTTAAACAACATGGGGGACAGTACAGAGCCCTGCGGGACCCCACAAGACAATGGTTGTGGGGTAGAGCAGGAGTCCCCCAGCAACACCTTCTGAGTGCGATCCTCTAAAGATCTGGGACCCAAGTCCAAGGAGGGAGTTTCAAAGAGGGCCTGGGGGGCAAGGGGAGAGCAGCAGGCTTCCAAGGGAAGGAACTGTGGGGCAGCCTGGAAAAGGGACCGATCTCACCATCACTGATGTATTTCCTCTCTTTCACAGGCAGTGAAACACAGCCAAGTGATAGTAGCACAATTTTTCATGATTCTTTCCTTAGAAGGGATTCTGCGAGACCAGATCAGGTAGGGAGCGGGATCCCTGGAGGGGAGGGGAAGCCCAGTCTCCTTGTCCCTTGGACATTCCCATGACTCTGAATCAGGGGTCCTCAAACTTTTTAAACAGAGGACCAGCTCACAGTTTCTCAAACTTCCGGAGGAGCCGGATTATAATTTGGAAAAAAAACCATGAATGAATTCCTATTTACACTGCACATATCTTATTTGCAGTGCAAAAACACTTTAAAACAATACAATAAATAAAGAACAATTTTAATCAATATAAACTTATTAGTATTTCAATGGGAAGTGTGGGCCTGCTTTTGGCTGAAGAGATCAGATTGTTGTTATGTGCTTTCAAGTCGTTACAGACTTAGGTTGACCCTGAGCGAGGGTCGGGTAAATGACCTTGGTATGAGCGAGGGTCGGGTAAATGACCTTGGTATGAGCGAGGGTCGGGTAAATGACCTTAGTTTGAGGACCCCTGCTCTAAATGAACCTCTCTTTTCCAAATTCCTTCCATACGATATGTTTTCAGTTAATGACTTATTCAAAGACGTAAATCACAAAAGGCCTGGGGTTTTGTTTTGTTTTTTCTAACTTGGGTGGCATTTTCTCCCCTTCAGGTGACTTTTGGAGATGTGTCTGTGGATTTCTCAGAGGAGGAGTGGGCCCTCTTGGATCCAAGCCAGAAAGCCTTGCACCAGCAAGTCATGGAGGAGATGTTAGGGATTGTCTCATCTCTGGGTAAAGCTCCATTTTGCTTAACCAAATCAGTTTACAAGTTCTAAAAATCATCCAGCGTTGAAATTGTCCAGTGTTTCATATCTTTTCCTCTGAAGCCATAAAAGCAAGCTCACTTAATATCCATATAGGGGCCACATTGGGAGCAGTTCAAGAAAAGAACTAGGTGTGGTTGCCCTATTTTATGAATTCTAGACACTTAGTTATTTTCCATCCATCGACCATTCTTGTGATGATAGTTGGAGTGGGGGAAGGGCTTCCCCTAGGGTAAAAGCTGCCACTCTGCCTTGATTTTGCTTTGACATAAGAGTGACATTTTGAGTTAAGAGCTAGTGCCAGACATAGCAGCACGAGAGTACAGGGCTTTAAGGCTTCAAGGGAACAGCCTCTGTTCCTTGTGCTCTTGTCCACTTTGGGAGATTGCTGTCTGCTTCGCTCTTGTCCACATTGAGGAACTTGAGGTTGGTCTTCTGCAGTTTTTATTCCTGCATTTATACATTTATTTATAAAGTATTATTTATTTACTACATTTATATACTGCTCCTCTCAGCCCAAGGGCGACTCGGAGCGGTTAACAATAGGCAACAATTCGATGCCAGAGCAGTTACAACAAAATAAAACAAAGCATTTTAAAGCATCTCCACCTCATTTTCTTATTTAAAAACACATAACAACAAATATGGTGTGGCGATTCAGGTGGCTGAAACAAATTACTAGTATTTTAGTGGGGAAATTTGCTTTGACATAAGATCATTTTGAGTTCACTCAATCAGGGAACAAACTGAACTCTTAAGTCAAGGTCTCCCTGTGTTTGAATTGTGTCTAAGGAGCCCCCGGTGGCGCAGTGGGTTAAACCCCTGTGCCGGCAGGACTGAAGACTGACAGGTCGCAGGTTCGAATCCGGGGAGAGGTGGATGATCTCCCTCTATCAATTCCAGCTCTTCATGTGGGGACATGAGAGAAGCCTCCCACAAAGATGATAAAAACATCAAATCATCCGGGCGTCCCTTGGGCAACGTACTTGCAGACAGCCAATTCTCTCACACCAGAAGCAACTTGCAGTTTCTCAAGTCGCTCCTGTCACGACAAAAAAAAATTGTGTCTAGAAACAAATTGGCAGCCAGTGTAGCCATGGTAGCAAATGACTTATGTGTTCTCTAACCAGCTCTACTTAACAGTTTTTGGACCAGCCAAGGCTTTAAAAAATCTTCAAAGGCTGTCCCAAGTAGAGTGCATTCCATTAATCCAAATGGGATACAACAAGCATATAACGCCATGGGCAGATCTGGTCTCTCAAGGAACAGGTGCAGGTGGTGCACAAATTTAAAATGTGCAAGACACTCCTGGCTACGCATGAGACCTGGGCCTCCAGGTTCCATGCCAAGTCCAGGGAATGTCCCCTGAACTCTGGACCCATATCTTCAGTGGTAATGTAACCCCGCATCAATCACAGGCTAAATCTCTGTTTCCTTTCAATTTGCCCCTCTCCAGCCCATTACTGGAGGTAGACACTGATTTAGTTGGAAATTAGAATTAGAGCTTGGTGTCATCTGCATATAGATGGCACTGCACTCAAAAACTCTGAATGACCTCTCCCTTATATACTTTAATTGCATAGGGGATGAAACAGATGTCCGAGGAATCCCACAAGCAATAGGCTAGGGGTGAAACAGGAATCTCCCAGCAGCCCTTTCTGGGTTTGCCTCTCCAGGGAGGAACAGAACCACTGTAAAATACCTCCAATTCCCATCTAGGAAGGTGACCTAGAAGGATACCATGGTTGATGATATTGAGAACTGCTAAAATGTTCATTGGAATCAATAGGGACACATTTCCCACTTCTGTCTGGGTCCATCTCTAGGCTGTCAACCAAGGTTTCCAAAGCAGTCTGCTCCATAAGCAGGTTTCCTTGAGTGGATCGAACCACTGTAATTCAGCCTTTGTCTTTTCCTGCTGCCTTCCACTATGCAGAACATTATTATATTTTACAGTGATGTGCAATAACTCATGTTTTTGTCCAAAGTTTGGCCCATTCGACTCTCTAGTGAGAATTCAATTAGTTAGTCAGGTTCACTCTCGCCTCCAGGAGAGAGAGGGGTTGAACGCTGCAGGCACTGAAGAGAAGTGAATCAACATGCATGCACCAACTTTCTCCATTTATTTTAAATCTGGGCAGTATTTTAAGTTGGTCCATAAAGGGTTTATGTACCCATTTTGAATCAGTCCTATCAAGCCATTTAGTAGCAGTCCATACATACACACGTATATATAGATTTCTCCATACACAAAAAATATTTATTTATTTACCGCGTTTGTATCCTGCCTTTCTTAAATCCATGCTTGTGATAGAAATGAGTTTTGCCTCATGCCTCTACCAATGCTTTTTTTTAATGGGAGAAATAACATTTTATTAATAATAATATAAGGAGTGACAAAACAGAGAGAGAATGTCAAACTCCAGTTCTGCACATCTTCATTCAGTCCTTTTTGCATTTACAACTTTATTATAGCTTCTAATCTGAATTTGGATGTTTGTTCTGTGTGGTGCCATGAGGTGAAGTTCAGCTAGCTCTGCGGCATCAGGCAGATCAAAGGTTTTTACCTTTCTTGTGCCAGAAGCACAAGGGATTCCAGAGAAACCAGGGTTAAGGAAAACAGCCCTATTTTCCCCATCCCTGGAGGACTTATGATTTACTTTGACACTTATATGTTGGTATAATATTTAGAGCAAAGACAAAAGATACGTTTTTCTCTTAACACCCAGTATTGTAAAGGGCTGTCTTGACTAAATACAGTTTGTCATTTGCATATTTTTTAACTTTAATATATCCTTTTTCTTTTTCAACACATGGTCACACTTCCCTTGTTCTTACACCATGTAAATAGAGGAGGAGATAACATTTAAAAATTTGGAATATGGAATGAATTTCAATCGGAAGGATATTCAAAAAACTCACAGAAGGGGCGAACATTTTAAATGCCTGGAGTGTGGAAAGAGCTTCAGTCAGAAGGAAGTTCTTGTTTGTCATCAGGCAACTCACACAGGAGAAAGACCATTTAAATGCTCAGAATGTGGAAAGAGCTTCATTCGGAAGGGATACCTTGTTCGCCACCAGAAAACTCACACAGGAGAAAGACCATTTAAATGCTCAGAGTGTGGAAAGAACTTCAGTAGTAAATCAAACCTTGTGCATCATCAAGTAATTCACACAGGAGAAAAGCCATTTAAATGTTTTCAATGTGGAAAGAGCTTCAGATGGAAGGGAGACCTTGTTCACCACCAGAAGATCCACACAGGAGAAAGACCATTTAAATGCCCAGAATGTGGAAAGAGCTTCATTCGGAAGAGAGACCTTGTTCACCACCAGAAAACTCACACAGGAGAAAGACCATTTAAATGCTCAGAATGTGGAAAGGGCTTCAGTCAGTCAGGAGAACTTGTTCGCCATCGGAAAAATCACACAGGAGAGAGACCGTTTAAATGCTCAGAGTGTGGAAAGAGCTTCATACACAAATCAAACCTTGTTTACCACCAGAAAACGCACACAGGAGAGAGACTGTTTAAATGCTTAGCGTGTGGAAAGAGCTTCATACACAAATCAAACTTTGTTCACCACCAGAAAACTCACACAGGAGAGAGACCTTTTAAATGCTCACAGTGTGGAAAGAGCTTCAGTGAGAAGGGAGACCTTGTTTGCCACCAGAAATCTCACACTGGAGAAAGACCATTAAAATGCTCACAGTGTGGAAAGAGCTTCAGTGAGAAGGGAGACCTTGTTCACCACCAGAAGATCCACACAGGAGAAAGACCATTTAAATGCTCAGAGTGTGGAAAGAGCTTCAGTAGTAAATCATACCTTGTGCATCATCAAGTTATTCACACAGGAGAAAAGCCATTTAAATGTTTTCAGTGTGGAAAGAGCTTCAGATGGAAGGGAGACCTTGTTCACCACCAGAAGACCCACACAGGAGAAAGACCATTTAAATGCCCAGAATGTGGAAAGAGCTTCATTCGGAAGGGAGAGCTTGTTCACCACCAGAAAACTCACACAGGAGAAAGACCATTTAAATGCTCAGAATGTGGAAAGGGCTTCAGTCTGTCAGGAGACCTTGTTCGCCATCGGAAAACTCACACAGGAGAGAGATTGTTTAAATCAGGCGTCCTCAAACTAAGGCCCGGGGGCCGGATACAGCCCTCCAATGTCATTTCCCTGGCCCTCGCTCAGGGTCAATCTAAGTCTGAAATGACTTGAAAGCACAAAACAACAACAACAACAACAATCCTATCTCACCAGCCAGAAGCAGATCCACACTTCCTATTGAAATACTAATAAGTTTATATTTGTTAAAATTATACTTGTTCTCCATTTTAATTATTGTATTGTTTTAAGTGGGATTTTTTTTTGCACTACAAATAAGATATATACAGAGTGCATAGGAATTATTTCATTATTTTTTTTCAAATTATAATCCGGCCCTCCAACAGTTTGCGGGACTGTGACCTGGCCCTCTGTTTAAAAAGTTTGAGGACCTCTGGTTTAAATGCTCGAGAGTGTGGAAAAAGCTTCAGACACAAATCAAACCTTGTTCGCCACGAGAAACCTCACACAGGAGAGACACCATTCAGATGCTCAGAGTGTGGAAAGTGCTTCAGTCGGAAGGGAATCCTTGTTCATCATCAGGTAACTCACGTGAGAAAAACCAGAGGGGAAAGAGCTTCAGTGAAAATACAAGTCTTCTTTTTCAATCAACCCACTCAGGGGTGAAACCTTAAGCTTGGAAAGAACTTTAATGAGAAGCAAAACCTACTTAAGCATGAAATATGTCAAACTGGAAATAAATTATTTCAATGCTCTTAGTGTGGAAATGGCTTCAATCCGAATCCGATATTCTTCATCATCACACAGCTAACACAGGGGAGAAATAATTTATATGCTTGGGGTGTGAAAAGAGCTTTAGTCAGAAGAGAAATCTTACAAACCATCAAAGCTGTCACATTGGGGACAAGCCATTTAAATGCTTGGAGTGTGGCAATGATTTCAGTTGGAACAAAGCTTAATTCATTATTTATTTATTTACCGCATTTGTATCCTGCCTTTCTCAGCCTGTACAGGCGACTCAAGGCGGTTCACAGTCGGCAGCAATTCGATGCCATAAGAATTATAAAAATACAGTTAAAACAATTATAAAAACAAAACATTTAAAATGTGATATAAAAAACAATACAGCCTGTAAAAGCAAAATCCTCTGTGTCTCCATACTAAAATAATTGTCTAATTGCATCGTCGGTCGTTCCATATATTCATTTTCGTCAAATTATGCTCCAGTAGTAAAAGCTTGCTCAAAGAGCCAGGTCTTAACCTTTTTGCGGAATGTCAGAAGGGAGGGAGCTGATCTTATATCCCCAGAAAGGGCATTCCATAGTTGAAGGGCCACCACTGAGAAGGCCCTGTCTCTTGTCCCCACCAAACATATCTGCGAGGAAGGTGGGATCGAGAGCAGGGCCTCCCTAGATGATCTTAAGGTACTAGATGGTTCATAAGGAGAGATACGTTCGGATAGGTAAGCCGTAATTCATTTTTTAAATTATTATTAAACTTTATTTGTACCCCGCTAGCATCTCCCAAAGGACTCGATGCGGCTTACAAAGGCCAAGGCCTCAACACAACAACAGCAAACAATAACAATACAATACAAAGCAAATTAAAAACATAAGCAATAGCAAAACATTACACCATTATGCAATAAAAACCAGGGCCGGGCCAGTGATGGGTACAGGTTAAAAACTGCTGGGTGTGACAGGTGGTATGTTGGGATTCTGGGCAAGTGCAATGTGCAGAGAATCTTAAAGTGCTTCTGGGACATAGTGCTGGGGGGTTATCCTATTCTGGAAAGGCACATTGGAATAGCCAGGTCTTCAAGTTCTTCCTAAAGACTGCCAACGTGGGTGCTAGTCTAATGTCTTTGGGGAACGGTGTTCCAAAGTCGGGGGGCAACCACAGAGAAGGCCCTGTCCCTTGTCCCCACCAGACGCGCCTGCGAAGTAATGCACACAGGAGAAGTAATGCACACAGGAGAGAAACCACTTATATGCTTGGAGTGTGGAAAGAGGGTCTGTACTAAGAGCAGTGTCATTCAGCATCCAGTAACTCGCATATTAAATAAATTATTTATTTATGGCCTCTTAAAAAGTACTTAAAATTTCATCATGCAATTCTTACATTGAAATTATTAGCATAGAACAGTGGTTCTCATCCTATGGGTCCCCAGGTGTTTTGGCCTACAACTCCCAGAAATCCCAGCCGGTTTACCAGCTGTTAGGATTTCTGGGAGTTGAAGGCCAAAACATATGGGCACCCACAGGTTGAGAACCACTGGCATAGAAAGAGCTGCTGTAAAAAAAAAATTCATTTCACTTCACACCAAGCGTCCAGTGCAGTGGAATAATTATTTAATTCTTTGGAGTGTCAGTAAAACTGGGATAAGGCAAGTTCCCTTGTTTTCCATCAGAGAGGGCATGAATCTTTGTCATAGAAACACTGGGTTAAAAAGCCGTGGCTTTTGTGGGAAATAATAACCTGGTCAATTGTTTTTATGAAATACGTAATTAAGTATAACTGATAATACTTTGAAAGATAATCATGCATACTAGTTACTGCAAATGGATCTGGACCAAAACAGATGCTGTGGGATTTTATTCAGTTGTGTGGAAGGGGCCTGAGGCAGCTTGGTTGGTGGAGGGAGGAAGAAGCAACCCCTCCATGCGAGGCTTTCCAGGTGGGGTTTGGGCCTACAAGTTGGACTGGGCCCCCTCTGCATAGAATCATAGAGTTGGAAGGGACCTTGTGGGCCATCCAGTCCAAGCCTATTCTGCCAAGAAGCAGGAAAGTCGTGTTCAAAGCAACCCCAACAGATGGACATCCAGCCTCTGTTTAAAAGCTTCCAAAGAAGGAGCCTTCACCACACTTCGGGGTAGACAGTTCCACTGCTGAACGGCTCTCACACTCAGGAAGTTCTTTGTCATGTTCAGGTGGAATCTCCTTTCTTGTAGTTTGAAGCCATTGTTCCATTGCGTCCTAGTCTCCAGGGCAGCAAAAAACAAGCTCGCTTCCTCCTCCCTATGACTCCCCCACACATATTTATACATGGCTATCATGTCTCAGTTTTCTCTTCTACAGGCTAAACATGCCCAGCTCTTTAAGCCGCTCCTCATAGGGCTTGTTCTCCAGACCCTTTATCATTTGAGTCGCCCTCCTCTGGACACATTCCAGCTTGTCAACATCTCTCTTTTAAGGTTGGCTTTGAGCCCATCTTTAAATCTCTTTTCCTGTCTACCAACATTCCATTTTCTGTTCTTGAGTTCAGAGTAGAGCAACTGCTTTGGGAGACAGTGGTCGGCCATCCAGACAATGTGGCCGGTCCAGCGGAGTTGATGGCGGAGGGCCATTGCTTCGATGCTGTTGGTCTTTGTTTCTTCCAGCACGCTGACATTTGTCCGCCTGTCTTCCCAAGAGATTTGCAGGATTTTTCGGAGGCAGCACTGATGGGATCGTTCCAGGAGTTGCATGTGACATCTGTAGACAGTCCACGTTTCGCAGGCATATAGCAGGGTTGGGAGGACAACAGCTTTATAAACAAGCACCTTAGTATCCCTACGGATGTCCCGGTCCTCAAACACTCTGCTTCATTCGGAAAAATGCTGCACTCGCAGAGCTCAGGTGGTATTGTTTTTCAGTGTCAGTACTGACTTTGGTGGAGAGCTGGCTGCTATTTATTTATCGTGTCATCCGCAACCAGAACATTGTATTACATTTCTAACAGAACAAAACAAACAAACAGATTTAAAAAAACCCGCACAATTTTTGCAAACTTGGTGGCTGATTAAATGTCCTTTGACCAGTATCTGGCCACTTGGAGTGCCTCTGGTGTTGCCGCAAGAAGGTCCTCCATTGTGCATGTGGCAGGACTCAGGTTGCATTGCAGCAGGTGGTCTGTGGTTTGCTCTTCTCCACACTCGCATGTTGTGGATTCCACTTTGTAGCCCCATTTCTTAAGATTGGCTCTGCATCTCGTGGTGCCAGAGCGCAGTCTGTTCAGCGCCTTCCAAGTCGCCCAGTCTTCTGTGTGCCCAGGGGGGAGTCTCTCATCTGGTATCACCCATGGATTGAAGTGCTGGGTTTGGGCCTGCCACTACTGGACTCTCGCTTGCTGGGGTATTCCAGAGAGTTCTCTGTAGATCTAAGAAAACTATGTCTTGATTTAAGTCGTTGACGTGCTGGCTGATACCCAAACAGGGGATGAGCTGGAGATGTCTCTGCCTTGGTCCTTTCACTATTGGCTGCTACTTCCCGGCGGATGTCAGGTGGTGCAATACTGGCTAAGCAGTGTAATTTCTCCAGTGGTGTAGGGCGCAGACACCCCGTGATAATGCGGCATGTCTCTTTAAGAGCCACACCCACTGTTTTAGTGTGGTGTGATGTGTTCCACACTGGGCATGCGTACTCAGCAGCAGAGTAGCACAGCGCAAGGGCAGATGTCTTCACTGTGTCTGGTTGTGATCCCCAGGTTGTGCCAGTCAGCTTGCGTATGATATTGTTTCTAGCGCCCACTTTTTGCTTGATATTCAGGCAGTGCTTCTTGTAGGTAAGAGCACGGTCCAGAATGACTCCCAGGTATTTAGGTGTGCTGTAATGCTTCAGTGGGATTCCTTCCCAGGTAATAATCCTCAGAGCTCGGGATGCTTCTCTGTTCTTGAGGTGAAAGGCACATGTCTGTGTTTTAGATGGGTTAGGGATCAGCTGGTTTTCCCTGTAATAGGCAGTGAGAGCACCTAGAGCTTTGGAAAGCTTCCTAGAGGGGAAGCAGGAAGGGAGGGAAGAGAGAAGGAAGGCCCTCCCACAGCTGGAACTCCGCCCCTTTCGGCCAGTGGTGAGCGCGTCCCTTCCTAGACGGGCACCGGAAGAGGCTTTGTTTACCTGCAGGGGGTCCTCCAAGGGGGAGGAGGAAGAGCGCCACTTCCGGGAGGGAGTCAGTCCTCCGAGGGATGCAGCTGCAGGTGGGTCTCTTCCCTGCAGAGAGAGAGAGAGTCAGGGAGTGAGGGGGGCGCCATGGGGGAGTCTCTTCGGCCTCTCTCACCGGGAAGAGCAGCCCCTCGGCCTCAGGCAGCCTTGGAAGGCCTTCTGTGGGAGCTGTGGGGGTGGAAGTGGGTGGGAGAGGCTGCAGTGGGAGAGGCCCCCAGAGAACCTGCCTGGGAAAGGATGGGGAGCGATTCCAAAGGATGTATATGTGTGTGTGTAAAACTAAGGACTAAGCCAGGGGTCCTCAAACATTTTAAACAGGGGGCCAGGTCACAGTCCCTCAAACTGTTGGAGGGCCGGATTATAATTATAAAAAAGAAAGAATATGTACACTGCACATATCTTATTTGTACTGCAAAAACCACTTAAAAATAATACAATAATTAAAATGAGGAACAATTTTAATACAAACTTAGTATTTCAATGGGAAGTGTGGACCTGCTTTTGGCTGATGAGATAGGATTGTTGTTGTTGTGTGCTTTCAAGTTGTTTCAGACTTAGGTTGACCCTGGATAAATGTATTTGGAGGACCGTATCCTCTCAGTCTCCTCATCTGCAGGCTAAACATGCCCAGCTCTTTAAGCCGCTCCTCATAGGGCTTGTTCTCCAGACCCTTGATCATTTTAGTTGCCCTCCTCTGGACACATTCCAGCTTGTCAACATCTCTCTTCAATTATGGTGCCCAAACCTTCAGTTGTGATGTCAATCACCTTTCTGTCTTCTGAAGCTGTAAGATTTGTTTTGTAAAAAAGGACTGGGCTGTGATGCAGCTAGTTAGTAGCCAGCTGTATTTAAATAATAATAATAATAATCATCATCATCTTTATTTATACCCCGCCACCATCACCCCAAGGGGGACTCGGGGCAGCGAACATGAGGCCAAGCACAAAATTACAGTACAGCAAAATAAAATACAAAAAGCAAGAATACCATCAAAATAAATACATGATGTAACAAAATAAAATAAACAGTTTCAATATAACATGATAGAGAAATAGAACATAGTGTGCGGGCCAAATGTACTACGAATAAAATTGATAAAACGCTGGAAGAGATATGTAGGATGTGTTTCTGAGGGAGAATGGGTTTCTGAGGGAGGAACATGAAAGGACCAGAACAGTGACTGAGAGGTCATGAGTTCAAAGTCATCCCAGGTCAGAGTAAGCTCTCGACCATTAAAAGTCTAGCTCGCTGTTGACCAGTGCAGCTCCAAAGACAGTTGCATCTGTCCAGTAGGACATTTAGGTACCGCTTTATGCGGGGAAGCACATTGAACTAATTTACAACGCAGCATGCAGAACAATGAGGAAGTACTCCATCAAAGGATTCAGTGTCACAAGTGGGCAGTAAAGTGGCAGCTCTCCCCTGTAGCCAGAACCAAGCATACTCTCATGGAGCCAGAAAAGCTAGAATGTCAAATTGCCTCTCTGTCTGTCTATATACGTTGTATGTCTAAGTAGCATTGAATGTTTGCCGTGTATATGTGCATTGCAATGTGCCCTGAGTCCCCTGCGGGGTGAGAAAGCAGGGAATATAAATACTGTAAGTAAATAAATAAATAAATAAATAAAATGTCCTTCCTCAAGAGTATTCACATGAGCTCATTCATCTTGTTTTGTTTGCAGGCCCCATTAGTTCTCCTGGTCTACCCGCTTTGAATATTATTTGAGAGAAGAGGTGGACACATCTTCATCCAGTTTGGAGGCAGCCTTGATGGACAGAACCAAGATGGAAGGGCAAGAGCCAGCTGCCGCCCACTTAGAAGTATTTTCTGCTGCTGTTGAGGGAGAAAACAATAGAGTGTTCCGGGAGGACCCTTGGACGAAATACCGGGAGAGCAATCTGCTCCATTCAGACCTTCCGCACCAGGGCTTCCGGCATTTCCGCTACGAGGAGGCCTTGGGGCCCCGAGAGGTCTGCAGCGAGCTCCACTCTCTGTGCCGCCTGTGGCTGAAACCCGAGCAACACTCCAAGGCGGAGATGCTGGACCTGGTGATCCTGGAGCAGTTCCTGAGCATCCTTCCTCCAGAGATGGAGCGCTGGGTGAGGGAATGTGGGGCAGAGAGCAGTTCCCAGGCTGTGGCTTTGGCTGAAGGATTCCTCCTGAGTCGGGCGGAAGAGGAGAGGAAGCGGGAGAAGCCCCAGGTGAGAGAGAGAGAAAGAGGTTCAGCTTGTAGTTTCAAGGAACCAAGAATAATTCTTTTTCAGGATAATGTAACACTCTTCTTCACTCCTCAGACCGGGATTATTGCATTTAGTGTCAGGTAGATAACTGTAAGAATAACGTAAACAGGTTAAAACGACTTCAGAGAAGCACTAGGAAAGGAGGGCCCAGGTGTGTTCAGCCTCAAAAAGAGACATGAGGTGCCACCACAGCCCCATTTGCATCACCCAAGGGCTCATCCTTCCTGCAGAGATGGAGCGCTGGGTGAGGGAATGTGGGGCAGAGACCTGTTCCCAGGCCGTGGCCTTGGCTGAAGGCTTCCTCCTGAGTCAGGAAGAGGAGAGGAAGTGGGAGAAGCCTCAGGTATGTGTGTGAGAGAGGTTCCTCTTGTCATTTCAGGAACCAAGGATAATTGTTTTGAAAGATTCAGTTTTGTGTAACTAATTTTAAGAATTATACAAACAAGTTGGAGCAAGTTCAGAGAAGCATTAGGAAAGGAGGACCCACGTGGATGGCCATCTGTTAGGGGTGCTTTGAACCTGATTTTCCTGCTTCTTGGCAGGGGGTTGGACTGGATTCCCCATGAAGTGTCTTCCAACTCTGTGATTCTATAATTTTAAATGTGTTCACCCTGGAAAAGAGACTTGGGATGCCCTGATTGCCCCCTTTGCACCCCTCCAAGGGCTCTCACGGAGAGGAGGGGGCAATCATCTCCATTTCTCAGGGTGGTATAGAGATGATTGCCCCCTCCTCTCTGTGAGAGTCCTTGGGGGGTGCAAAGGGAGCAATCATCTCCATTCCTCAGGGTGGTATAGGTGAGCCCCCAGTGGCGCAGTGGGTAAAACCCCTGTCCCGGCAGGACTGAAGACCAACAGGTTGCAGGTTCAAATCCGGGGAGAGGTGGATGAGCTCCCTCTATCAGCTCCAGCTCCTCATGCGGGGACATGAGAGAAGCCTCCCACAAGGATGATAAAAACATCAAATCATCTGGGCGTCCCCTGGGCAACGTCCTTGCAGACAGCCAATTCTCTCACAACAGAAGCGGCTTACAGTTTCTCAAGTCACTCCTGACATGACAAAAAAAGGGGGGGGGGGTGGTATAACCAAGTATAATGATCTGAAGTTACAGGGTGGTAAACTTTGAAGATTTAAAAGAATGTATTGAGAATGCCATTTATTTTTATTTCAGAGGAAGCAAATGGCTGAACCACTTCTGAAACCGTATGTTATTCACAGGTAGAGATTGTCAGAAATATTAAAAATTACCTAGGTATTTTTGGTTATAAAATGTGGGTCACGCACTAAAAGGGTTAAATGGATGCAGTGACTGAGAAGCTGCAGTTAAATCTCAGCAAGCATGCCTAGTAATGCCGTCAGTCTGAGATAAACCTTAGTGGGAGAAAGGTCTCTTGTCTGTGAGGTAGACCTTAGTCTATGAGAAGGCCGAGTATGAGGAAGGCCTGGTGTGAGAAGCTTCGGTGAAAGAAGCCCCGGGTTGAAGGCCTCTTGTGTAAAAAGCCTCCTGTGTAAAGCTCCAGTGTAAAGGCTGCTGTGTATAAAAAGCTACGGTGTGAAGCTCCTGTGTAACTTCCGTGTGAGATGGTGAAAGCGAACCTGTTTATCTGCATAAGAAAGAAGCCCAGCGTGGAAGCAAAGAAGGAATTATAAAGAATTTTATTTGTGTTATAGAAATCCTATTCTTGTAAATAGTGTAACCATATTGTTTTGCTACAAAGAAAAGCCTCCTACAGGACATACAACATTGGTCTGTGTGTTCATGTTCTTTTTATCACTGGGTTGTTGTAGGTTTTTCTGGGCTATATGGCCATGTTCTAGAGGCATTTTCTCCTGACATTTCGCCTGCATCTATGGCAAGCATCCTCAGAGGTAGTGAGGTCTGTTGGAAGTAGGAAAATGGGTTTATATATCTGTGGAATGACCAGGGTGGGACAAAGGACTTTTGTCTGCTGCATCTAGGTGTGAATGTTTCAACTGACCACCTTGATTAGCATTTAATGGCTTGGAAGTGCCTGTGGGCAATCTTTTGTTGAGAGTGATTTGATGTGCCTGATTGTTTACTCTCTGTTGTTTTGCTGTTGTAATTTTTGAGTTTTTAAATACTGGTAGCCAGATTTTGTTCTTTTTATCACTTTGGGAGACTGGTGCTGGGTCACGCTGCTGCTAATAAGTTACTCTGCTGTGCATTCAAGGGGAAGGTCTTTTGTTAATCAGCCTACTTGCCCAACAGAGATAACTCAACAGGACCCTGAAAGCACAGATATGCAGACTTAGGTTATTCAGGCCCAAGAGCCCCTCTAGGGTAGCCCCAAATGACAACCCCGGGATTATGGAAACTACTGCCTTCATCCCAGCAGTAGCCCTTCCACTTAGAATCATAGAATCATAGAGTTGGAAGAGACCTTGTGGGACATCCAGTCCAGCCCCCTACCAAGAAGCAGGAAAATCACATTCAAACCACCCCCAACAGATGGCCACCCAGCCTCTGTTTAAAAGCCTCCATAGAAGAAGCCACCACGCTCCTGGACAGGGAGTCCCAATGCTGAACAGCTCTTACAGTCAGGAAGTTCTTCCTCATGTTCAGATGGAATCTCCTTTCTTGTATTTTGAAGCCATTGTTCCATTGTGTTCGAGTCTTCAGGGCAGCAGAAAACAAGCCTGCTCCCTCCTCCCTAAGACTTCCTCTCATATATTTGTACATAGATATCATGTCTCCTCTTAGCCTTCTCTCTTCTTCAGGTTAAACATGCCCAGCTCTTTAAGCCGCTCCTCATAGGGCTTGTTTTCCAGACCCTTGGTCATTTTAGTTACCCTCCTTTGGACACATTCCAGCTTGTCAACATCTCCCTTCAATTGTGGTGCTCAGAATTGGACACAATATTCCAGATGTGGTCTAACCAAGGCAGAATAGAGCAGGGGTAGCATGACACTTCAGATCGAGTCCTGAAAAAGAGTACAATGCCCAAACAAAGGCAGAATTCCTGCACCTCAAGGAGACAGATTCTTCTACAGAATAAAGAAAAGCACTCTTGGGTCCCAACAATAATCCCAACAGTCTGGAACAGGTTGCAGAAGTTGACCCCTCCCTCCTTTTCTAATCTATTTTTCCTTTTGTGATGTGTGCTGCTTGTTCAGGTGCAGGACTCTGTTGCAGAGGAGACCAGTCAGGTGGAGGAGTCACACATTTGGGTCGTCCAGATTGGAGAAGGAGAATATGTCGTAGTTGGTAAGGAACCGTTGTGGTCCTTCTTGCTTGCTCACCTCCTCTTGTGTAGACCTGAAATGCTTGAGTTGTGTGAATTGAAATAAATTTGGGGAGCCTGGGAGCTTAAGAATGCTGCTGACAGGAGACATTTCCCTCCAATGCTTATTTGTGCCACTTTCAAAGTTACTTGATTCCTTTGCTTCTCTCGGGATGTTTATAGAAGTGAATATGTTATTTGCTACTTTGGCAAAATACAGAAACAAACGCAGTCAACTCTCTACATTTCCTGGGATTAGGTTGCAAACACCCCTGTAAAACAAAATAGTCCCCATTAAAGACCTGGGACCCAAATCCAAGGAGGGAGTTTCAAAGAGGGCCATGGGGAAGTGGGGGGGGGGGCAGCCTGCCCCACAGGGAAGGAACTGTGGGGCAGCCTGGGAAAGGGACAGATCTCACCCTCCCTGGTGTCTTTCCTCTCTTTCACAGGTAGTGAAACATGGCGAATTGATAGTAGCACAACTTTTCATGATTCTTTCCTAAGAAGAGATTCTGCGGGATCAGATCAGGTAGGCAGCAGGATCCCTGCCTCTAAATCAGTGATTCCCAACCTTTTTTTTTTTAACCAGGGACCACTTTCCAACATTAATACCAAAAGGGTTACGAATAAGTTTTTGGTCAACTTTAGATCACTGGGTTGTTGTAGGTTTTTTCGGGCTATATGGCCATGTTCTAGAGGCATTCTCTCCCGACGTTTCACCTGCATATACGGCAAACATCCTCAGAGGTTGTGAGGTTTGTTGGAGCTAGGAAAATGGGTTTCTATATCTGTGGAATGACCAGGGTGGGACAAAGAACTCTTGTCTGCTGGAGCTAGGTGTGAATGTTTCAACTAACCACCTTGATTAGCATTTGATGGCCTGGCAGTGCCTGGGGTAATCTTTTGTTGAGAAGTCCTTGATTGTTGCCTCTCTGTTTTGCTGTTCTAATTTTAGAATTTTTTAATACTGGTAGCCAGATTTTGTTCATTTTCATGATTTTCTCCTTTCTGTTGAAATTGTCCACATGCTTCTTGTGGATTTCAATGGCTTCTCTGTGTAGTCTGACATGGTGGTTGTGAGAGTGGGCGAGCATTTCTGTGTTCTCAAATAATATGCTGTGTCCAGGTTGGTTCCTCAGGTGCTCTGCTATGGCTGCAGTGCCTTTCATGTTCCTTGAGTCATGTTTGGGCCTTGCTGCGTTTGGTGGTCTCTATGTAGACTTGTCCACAGCTGCATGGTACACGGTAGACTCCTGCAGAAGCGAGAGGATCCCTCTTGTCCCATTTCCTACTTCCAACAGACCTCACTACGTCTGAGGATGCTTGCCATAGATGCAGGTGAAACGGCAGGAGAGAATGCCTCTAGAACATGGCCATATAGCCCGAAAAAAACCTACAACAACCCAGTGATTCCGGCCATGAAAGCCTATGACAAAACTTTAGATGAGTTTGGTGATTTGGTGTGCTGATTCAGAAAATTGCATTGGATAGACCACATCGGCTCTAGTTTCTGATACAAAACATATTCCATCCGGTAGTTTATTGCTTATTTTGTTTATGTGATTTATATGATTTGTATTTTATTGAGTGTTTTATTGATGTTTGTTTACTGATGTTGTTTATTGATGTATTTTGGGCTTGGCCTCATGTAAGCCGCACCAAGWCCCTTGGGGAGATGGTAGCGGGGTACAAATAAAGATTATTATTATTATTATTACCAT